TTCATTTCACGATGGTTTCAGGCGCTCCGCACGTTGCTCAATTTTTCATGGAAATTGCGTGACACGTCGGGAACGGTTGCCCGTCGCGTTTGTTCGCTCTTACTCATCTAATTTACCGACTCATGTAATTTACCGACCTTCTTATCTCGATACCTACCTGATATCTTAATAGCGTTAACAGATAGACGTGAATACGTGAAAGGTACGTTGACGAAAATCACATTCGATAAATCTGGGTGGACTGGAAAATCACATTCGATAAATCTGGATGGATGGAAAAAACACGCTCGGTGTCGGCGATCAATAGCATTCTCGGCGTTCCTTGTGCTCTATTTTTTTTCCGAGATTGGACCTTATTATCTCAAGACTCCTCGTTTCACGTCGGGCTGTCAGGGCGGTATCGATCGGCTCGTGAAAATGTAAGTACACGTCTTACATAGGTAATAATAAAGATATCAAGAAGACGCAGAATCAACTTATCTGGATTATCTCGATGACGCGAATCGCGATTATCCGTCTGCTCGATCGCTATTTTTTGCGACCGAAGCCGGAGCTCTTTTTCGGCTTCGTCTCTCAAAAACGTCGGCCAATCGTGAATAGGTAAAACTTCCTTCGCAGAAAGATGACACAGAGTCGGCTTACAGCGCCGGGGAAAATCCATTTACGTTTCGCGAAATATTTCGATGTTGAACTTTTCCGCTTTGTGCGAGAGATCGAGAGTTCACTGTGACTGATTGATGATTCGGCATACAACGACGGATAATATTGATTCAATGAGGACGGCTATTATTTCCACGATCGAATTCCACGTATATTCGTAGAATATTACTCGCATTATGTAATCTCATTGAGTATGTAAAGTCGAACTTGACATGAGCTAAAGGCGGCTTATCAACCGGGAGAAATATACCCTTCGATTGTAATTAATAGCGAAGCTCACTAAAAGACAAGTAAAATCCTTGGAGATTTATTTCAAAATTGGCCATTTTTATTTTTATCTTAATTTTCCTGTCGCATGTGATATCGCGTGTACCTTAAAACTATTCAGTTTTGACATCACGTGCTAAATTTAGCGAAATGAAGTTGTGAGAAATTCTTATTAGCATGTGTGCGTGAATCCGCCAATTTAAATTAATTTTAAACATAACTCGAGAGGTCAGTATCTGCATCATTTATACGGATAACGATGCTGTGTTAATGATTGTAGGCGATAACTTCACTTTCCGCCTACGCCTATGCCAATCTCAATTAGTAATTTCTTGTACTTTTACATATGTCACTCGTAAAGAATCGATTAAGGATCGATTTGCTAATTATCTACACAATGCATTCTTCGAATGGCGACGCTTGTCCGTTTCGCTTCCCCTCCCCCGCTCACCATAACGAAAATATATATATGCGCAAAGTACCCATCTGACTTGTTAAAAATAGCGAATGTATCCGCATCTTCCCTCACTAGTTCGTCGGAGCAGTAGATCTATCTTAAAAAAGTTGATAAATGAATTAGAGAAATGCAAATTCGAAATTTCCGTATCTGATCGAAGCCAAAGTCCACCTAAGACTAATTGTAAAGTGTTTTTTCTCAAGAATTGTCACGCTATTAATCCATCATTAACTATATTAAATTATGACATCAGAAGAAAAATGAGACCTCATGCACATTTTTTATGCGAATGCATCGAGATAGAAGTCCGATAAAAAAAATTTATAATGAATTTTTTGTAATTTATTTTTAACTTATGAATAATTAGTTGCTCATTGTAGCGTAATTTTTTGTAATTTATTCTTAACTTATGAATAATTAGTTGCTCACTACGGCGTAAAAAAAGATTTAATTCGATTTTAACTGTGAAAAAAGTTACGTCTAATTTCGCTTGCGTTTGACGTCGCTTCTGACGTCACCATCCGATATAGCTGCTGAGTGACGTGTCAGCGGCTTTAATATTCCTAAAAGACGGTTCCTCTGGCCCTGATCGAAAGCGGATCTCAATTTGGTCCTACACTGCCTAGTAAATGACATGCAATATCGACGAGACTGGCGCATACGATGGTGTGCATCCTTTATTCCAGAGAATCAACAGATTGGTTTATTCCGATAAACTTCCGCGACACGCACATCTCCGTCCATCAACCGAACTTCTCCAGGTGTCACGATTTATTTACGATAACTAATGAAATTCAAGCCCTCCTGATTAGTATCTACTTTCAAGCGACAAAATAAAAATTCCCTCGGAGATACTTCAAGAAAATTTTATAGAAATTTTATAGAAATTCTCACGAGAAATTTCTCACGCGAGTCTTTTAAGAAATCCATATCTCTTCGTGCCGATAGAGTGCATTTCCTTTAAGCTTTTTTTTCATTAATAAAGTAATAAGATTATATTTATTCATACGATATTTTATTACGTTTATTTATCTATTAAAAAGTATTATTTAGACTAAATTTAGCGAGTAAATATTAATAATATAGATTAATTTATTTTTTGCTGGTAGTGAAATTTTGTTTTTTTTTGTTTTTTCTCTTTCAGATTTAAAATTCTAAATAATACCAGCATATAATAGGTATTCATACAAAAATCTGCATAATCGCGTAAGATCTGTTGGCGGTGAAGCGAGACCTCGCATAAACAGGCGCATCTTTATGTCGCTGTATTATTTATGATTTTAAATAACGGAAGTATTACAACGACTTTGGTTACATAAGTAAGTTACTCATTGCAACTTCGAAGCGAAACATCGATTTGCTTCAGAGATTTTTCTTCGCAATATGCGCCATTTTTCCTTAGATGCACGTCTGCTTCGTTGAACGTAATAACGAACACATATTTACATTCGCAGCTCTTTGATAAATGCGCAAATATGTTTATCTCTTCCATTAAAATATAAATATTTTATTCTTTCTTGGCAAAAATTGTGTAAAATTACTTTTTACGGATATTTATCTTCGTATTCTTTTAATTATAATATTTTATTCAAAAATTTATTATTATATTATTACAAGACGTTTATTGTAGAATTAAAAGAAGAATTAAGAGAATTATTTTTGTAATAATGTTTTTGGTGAAAAATATTGATATTACGCATTGTCCTATTATTTAATATTAAAGGGCTTTGAGAATTAAAAAACTGATGAAAAAAATTTTGTCGCAAGATTCGTAAAAAAAATGCACTTCCAAAGCATCAGAACTTTCTTAATCAAGTACTCTGTATCTAGCAGAGCTCTCGAGATAATTATTTTTTATATAACCATTTCCCGTTATTCGCAAGAAGGAAAAGATTTTATGTTTTCAGAGAATACACCTTGCAATTCGAGAAGCCGGAAAATCTCTTTGAGAAAACTATCATTGGAAACAACTGTGGAAGTGGCGTTATCTTATCGTTCGTTGCCTTTCTGGGGACTAGTCATTATCTTGATTGCGGATGAGATTTTATTTAGCTCTTTCGTTTATGTTGTTTCAACTTTATTCTCTCTTTCTCGTCTCTCATTGCTCCTTTTACGTTCCCAGCTTCGACAATGTAAACAGTTTTATCATGTAGAATCGGATGCTTTGGGTGGGTGTATGAATCATGAATGAATATAAAGCACCTTTGCAATTGTGTATGTATTCCGCTTGTATTCGCTCGACGTGCGTTGTATTACGACTGATATTATCTTTCCAAGGTTGGACGCGCAGTTTACGGAAATGCATTCCACGTCCTCGCGGAATTAAATCTGCGACGTGGAAATACATACTGAACTTTGAAGCTTGAAGGCAAACCGAAAAACTAATCTCGGATGTTTACGCCGTAATTCGAACGAGAAATGATTCTCTTTTTGTTTTCTCTCAATAAATTCAAAATATTCGATAATATACCGAGTTTATGGAGATACTTTGTTCTTTGTAATAAAAAACCGTGATTTTTCTTAACTCTGAATGATGATTTGTACTTATTCACAACGTAAGTCATTTTTGCAGTCCATCATTGTAGTCTATTATTTTCTAGTCTATCATTGAAATCGTCTTCTTCGATGATATTAAATATATTATGTTCATGGAAATAGTTTATTCTTTATAAAACTGAAATAAAACTGACCTTAATTTTATTTATTCTACGTGACAATTTGCATCTAATTTTAATATGTTAATCAATTTTGTAGTTTCTATTATTAGCTATAATAAGAAAATTGCAAAAAGATCGAGGAACAAATTAGTTAAAATTTTATCAATTTTTATATAATCAACTTGATATCTATTTCTTGTCTATCTTAGCATAATCTGAGAATGTTAATAACATATATAATATTTTTTATCAGATTAATATTATTTTTTATAAGATTATTCGGAAATAAGAGATCTGTGAAGTTGACATTCTCAAATGCTAATTTTTATAAAATTAATATCACATTTAATTGTTCACAATTTATCCACATTTGTCCACAAATAATAATTTTTTTGTCCACTTGGCGAAAGAAATTACAAATGAAAAATTAGCGCAAATTTCATTATGAATACTCCTAAATGTGTGTTTTTTTTTAATTATATATGGAGTACGTGGGCAAAAAATAATTATTTAAGGACAAATATGAACAAATTGTGAACAAACAAGTGCAATATGAATTTTGTAAAAATTCGCATTTGTGAGTGCTAATTTCGCAGATCTGAAAACAAGATCTCTTTCATTTCTTATTCCACATACGAGAAAAGAATCGAAAACGAGTCATTAAAGTCCATCGTAATTTCCGGGATGATTTGTTTTTTCACGCAGGAAAGAATGGACAGAATTTTCCCACGGGCTCTGCATATCTTCGCGTGCCGAGCTCGCGAATGTACATTCGTCTGATTTTCGAACTTCCGACGTAGTGCCGTGTAGATTTTCGATAGAGGAGTGGTCTGTATAATACAACGAAAAGGTACGAGCAAATGAAGCTGCGCAAAGTGCTAACCGACCACGGCGGCGACGATTCCTCGCGATGGCGGTTGCTTCTCGCTACTGCGACAGATAGTCTCGTCACTTCCGGTTATGCATCGCGCAGGAGATACCGAAGGAAGCTTAAAGCATGTGCCAAAGGTACCACTCGCTGACTTCGTGTTCTCGTAAGCCAATTCAGTCAAGCTGTCTGGACTAACTTACGTGCACTAATGTTTCAACTAATCTTCCGTGGCGGCGAATTATTCTGCGACGTAAAATCCTCTTTGTAGGAACTCCGAAAATGATTCCGCGGTAGAATCGGTGCGCGCATCTTAGAAGCTGAGCCCGATCGAATCGATAGCGCGTTTCAGGAAGCGCGACGTTGAAAGAGACGCGATAACGTCAACTTGGCTGCTAATTACTTATCGACGAATATCGACCGGTACCGAGCATTTTACCGAGCATTTTAATTTACTTTGAAATGATCCGAGTATAAATAGACTCGGTATTAACGCGCAGTTTTGCGCTAAAACTACCTCTTGCAACAAGCTCTCGATATTTTCGCGGCGTAATCTTTGTAGGACAGGTTAAAATAGCGAAAATGAGATAAGACGAGATAAAACGAAAGTCCGACGATGACGGTTTATCGATTTTCACGCGATACTACGTGTTATTTACTTTGTGAAATTTCTGTCGCGTCATGCGCATTCTCAGAATAGTTACATCTGCTCGAGTCGTAGTCGCGTTTTCACGAGCAATTAACTCGATCCTCGGGAATTGGTCGCGCTTTCGCGTCGGCTCAACAATTCGCCAGGTTTAGTTCGCATTATTATCATCATGAAAATACGTAACATTTTTATGAGACACGACTAAAAACGTATGTGAAGATAAGGGCGCATAAAAATACGTTGCAGCTCAAAAGAAGCAACTAATAACAATATCCGTTAATCCGTTAATTTGCAAAATTTCTTTTGTTTGTAATATTTCTTGCAAGATAATTTGCGTTATTTGCATTCTCTTCGCAACTTGTAATTAACACAGTAACTTGTTAAAGACTTTGTAAAGACTTTTAATCACCTGCATATTGAAATATTCACGTACCGATGACGTAAAATTACGCGTTTCAAGTGCAAATAGCATATATCACGATAACGAATGAAAACGAAACACGTGGGAAAGCGATTTCGTACGAGACCGCGTTTGTTTTTATTTAAAATGAGTATAGAGAGAGACACGATATTTACATTTTTATATATATAGTGTTTCAGAATTGTCGCTTTCGCTTTCATTTGAAAATTTTCGGGTTTGAAGATGATTTCTCGAGCATTGATAATTTTTATTATGCAAATCTATAAAAATCCAGATATTTTTGAATCCAGAATTGCGCTCTTAAAATAGATCGATAGACGATATTTTATTCCTTAGCTAACCTAGAAGACATTTCAGAAGATACTCACGTAAAGTTTATCGAAGCATTTAATATTGAGAATAAATAGACCGCGAAAGAATAGGCGGTGCTCGATCAAATTTTCGTCGAATGAAATGTCGATTCTGAATTAATCGGCGCTCGGCGTGGATGAAAGGCGGTAAGTAGTTTCGGCACACCCCGTGCATGTGCCCGTTTTTCGTCAGCTGTGTATACATACGCACACGTGTATAGCGATCGTGTAGTTAGCGATTAGACGTCGGTCTCTTTTCGGGCTCTTTTTCGTCGATCTCTTCGGCAGTTTCGGGTAGTGGACGCGACGATTGACATCGCAAGTCACAATGATTAGACGATAGTTATCGCGACGCGCGCGATCTTAGAATCTCATATGGGTCACACATCGATACATCTCCCCAGAAGGCTGATAAAATTTTCGATCCGCGGACTTTATCGCTCGTAGAAGAAGCCATTTTAAATCAGTCGTCCGTCGTCTACATGGGAAACGCGTGTTCTTCAATATTCGGAAATCTTTCAGGTCGAGAGTGAGGCGTAATGTGAGTGTTGGAAGAATCCATAAAACAGAAAGTCTTGCGCAATCGTATATTATCGTATATTATCCAATATTGATTTTGCTGCAGGTTACTTTTTTTTAACTCTTTTAATCCTACCTTTTTTTCTGAGGAGAATTTTTAATATGCATAAATCTATATATATTAATATTAATCATACTGAATTAGATCATACTAAATATGGGCAGCTTCTTTATTTTATTTTTCGATATAATTTTTTTTCAGATATAAAGAAAACAAATGTAACTTACCTGTGCAATATCTTCTGAGAATTTTCTGAATTTATTTTTGCTGTTGAGATATATATTTTTCCAAAATATAAATTTTTCAATAATAAATTTGTTTACTGGGACATAATCCAATGAAATCGAAGAGATTAGTAGATAGTATAAAGAGAGAATTTGTTGAAAATTTATCTCGTATGTATTTATATGTAGTTTGTTACGAGAATGATTTTCATGGCGACACTGTTCTCGGGGATTTATATTTCGGAATTTTCTCCCAAAGCAATAAGGAGATTAATTATTAATTTTGCAATGAATGTTGAGGTCACACTTTGGGTCTGACGAGTCCTGTTGTTTTAATCCTTTTGATGCTGAATTAAACGAAGCGTAAAGAGATGCTAAAATGTATCCTCTCGTTAATTGTGAGTATAACAGTTATAATACCCGTTGAAAAGTCTACTTTCAAACCACGCAACGCAATGTTTTCTCACGATCGATCTCGCGTGTGCTCGCGTGCCATAAAGTGTAAAATGTAATTAAAATGCCGCGATGAAATTAACGAGTTAAACTATCACGTTATGGGAGAGGAGCTACGTGTAATGCAACGAAAAACCAATATTGAATTAGATATAGGGCGGTACGCATAAGATTTTTATGATAACATGATATGATTTTTTTTTTATAATTTACACAACAAATAAATAAATTAAAATGCAAATTGGTGTGTTGTGTGTAAAAGCGATCTTTGTGTTTTCATAGCTGTTAATTAATACAATTCATTTGACACGACTGCAATAACGAAACTGTAATAACGAAGCTTTCAAAATGTAATTACTAAAGGAACTATATATTTTTAATTAACTATCTGCATTGCAATATAAATGTACACAGTTAATTAAAAATATATAGTTCCTTTACGTATTAGGAAATGCATTAAAATTATCTATGCCATTATAAAAAAATCTGTCGGCTTCTCTTTATGTCTCAAAAAGTTTTTTGATATTGCTATATTCTGCGAAATCTAATTAAAAATACTGGGTCTTGATGCTTAATTAACAGTCTTGTTAATTTTCAATCCGTAATGGCATGAGATTATTTGCAGTTATCTTGTGCCTATTCTTCTGTTTCTTCTGTATTTTCGTCAAATACTATTTATCTTGTAAAATTGATTAAATAATTTCTCGTTCTTTTTCAAAATCAACACTAGATATACAAGGTGATTCAAAATAATCCATAGTGTCTTTGATGGACACGTTTGGGTTATTTTGAATCACTCTGTATGTTTGAAAACTTTATATTAAAAATATAAGAAGTAACGAAGATCTAATAGAGTCTGCTTTATCTCAGATTTCGATAATGATTTTTTTCTGCAAAAATCTCGGAAGGACCGTTGAGTGACGTTTAGAACGTCAATTGCGGAGGACAAAAAACACAGGATTTGGCGTCTCTTTGCAGTGCTGAGGATGCTGACGCCGAGGCGAGCGGGGCCGGTCGGCCCCGAGGAAATCGGCGACGGGCCCGCGAGTGACAAGGGTGCGAGCAACGCGACGAGCGGCTCGGTCACCCCAGGCGGTTCTTACGAGAATGGCGACAGTTCGAAGGAGTTCCTGTCCACCGGAAGGACCGGCAGGAGAAACGCGCTACCAGACATTCTCGGTCGACATGCCGAGACCGGTCTCTCCGACCTGTCGGATCGTTTCGAGGAGTTGTCCACCCACCCAGGTGACAACTCACTTTACTTCCGTATCGTTCACGGCTTTGAACGGGCAAATTAATAGTTGTAAATAATTAACAGCGACGAAAGTGATTTTTTTTCTCTACTTCATTCGAACTATCTAGTCAAGTCCACGCACTCCTCGTTAGTTTAGCAAAAATCACAAAAAAAAACGTCTCATTCCTCGCACTCTTAATTTTTTCTAATTATTAAAAAAGAATCTTATTTTTCTTAATAATCGTATACTTGAGTCGCTTAAGGTGAGTCCTCCATGTGTTGCAGATCATTCTGCCAATACCGGGCAAGATCCGAATATACCGAGCACCTCGAAACAACACGGCTGACATGTCCATGAGGCTTTGTAGCGGACCTCGCTGTCGCGATACATTGGGCCTTCCCATCACCGACGACGACGACGACGACGACGACAATGAGGACGCGATAGAGACGCGTGTTATGTCTGTCAACACGATCCTCGAACACTCTTTGGCTCGGGTTACTGTGATGGAATATATCGATGAACGATTGACGCGTAAAGGATGAATTAAACACGCTTCATCGTCTAGAGAATGTTGGATAATTTTCGGGTTCGAGAAAGAGAAAAAGGAGAGAGAGAGATCGCAGGATGGGAGAATAGAATTGAAGGATTCAATGTACAAGAGAGTAAAGTAATAAATAAAATCTGTAAAATTTGCTCTTTACAGATAAACTTTACAAATTATGGATTTATCTTTTACAATGAATTTTTCGAGTAATACTCAAAGGGAACCAATGATTCTTTGCCGTTAAGGTAAGATCGATCCGCCACTCGAATATAAAAGTACCAGCGTAAGATTAGTCTCGCTAGACAGAAAGTCCAGTAGCTTGCGCGGAACGTTAGAATTGTGTACGTTTATCTTCTCGGAATTAAAAGTGAAATACGCTTTGCCTCGTTCAGATTTGTACAAGCAAATGCCGAATTACTTATAAATTGCATTATATTAGAATTTTGTTATTTGTTTTTATTGAAATATCCTTTCAAGCTGAAAGAATTCGAGATTCGACAAGCTCTTTTCATATATTTTTATATTAAATCATTGACAATTTATTTATGTATGCGTTAGAATTGTAGCGCATTAAAGCTGGCAAAATAAATATTGCGGCAAATTAAATTTGTGAAAATTTAAATGTGACGTGACCTTTCGCCCGGTTTTTAACTTTGTTAATAATAATGCTGTTTTAAAAAATATAGTAATTGCGGGTGCGTGTGTGTATATGTATATGCGATACATATTTTTAATAAAATTTCTATAAACTCTTTTTATTTTGTATTATGCGATTATTGATTAATGGATATACTAACGAGAAGGGAGCCAATGAAAAACGTGCCATCAGAAAAAAACCCATTTAGATCTTGTGCTGTTATTAAATTTTACACGTTCCGCCCTGTATGGAGTAACAGTAGAGATGGGAGAACTAATTGTACGCTTTTAATAATTCGTAATAATCCAAGTGCGGCGTTGTTATTAATAGTATATCAAGTAATTGTATAAATCATATATCGTAGAATTATTACGTCCTTCCCAAAAATTATGTACTTTTTTGATGTCGCTGCGATGTACATAACAGGGTGTCCCATATCCTCGCTAAATCCTAAATCCTCGAATTCCGATCCGCACTTTCAAGATTCATTGATCAGTCTGGCTGCAAGGAGAGGATTTAGGTTGCAGCAAACAATGGCCTCGTTCGAAAATATCGCCAACGAAACGCCAGCTCGTCGAGGAATCCATCTCTCGAGATTTACTTTTGCGATCGAAACTTGCGCTGGCCTTCGCTCGCTTTTTCCAGAATAAATTTTCTCGCAAACCTCTAAACTTTCTCAAGAAAATATCCAAGATCCGACGAATGACTTTTCAAACGCAGTTTCAGAGGAAAGCGCAGAGCGATACTTGAAACGAAATGTACCTCTGAGGTTTCATGGCCGTAATTTCTTCTTTAAACATCGCCGCGTAAAGGTGCTTACGTTTAAATAACGAGACGCGGTATCGGTAGACGGCGTATAATTTTATTAATGTTGCGCGTTTTATCTAAACTAGGTGTTCCGTTACAGTTTCTCATTAACGTTGTACAACCGCGGCAACAACTGAGATGCCGAGAAACTTTTAACGGCCGAAACACAACTAGGTGTTTGTACAAATTAAGCGAAATAATAGCGTGTAATAGCGTAACAGCGGTGGATATGTACATAGATATCTAAAGGTGATACAGCTCACCTGATTGCGCATTGCCCTGGATTTTCACGAACATGCGTACGAGCATAGTTAGTTAAGTTAATCAATAATAAGATATATTTCACATACGATTAAGTGTGTATATATATATATATATATATATATATATATATATATATATATACGTATCATGTAAATCGTGCATATACGCCTGTATTCTCAGCGTACATCTTACTACATAAGTACGAATTGTTCGATCATTGGCCCATATTTGTGTCCCGAGCGCTTTTTTTCTATGCTGGGCAAACGAAAGTTTAGGGAATAGAGTATTGACATAAAATATACGATGAGAATACGTTTCTTATCGTGATAATAAACAAACATTTTTTGACTTACGTGTCTCTCGGCGTTCGTCTTTATGAATTTCGAGAGAGGCGGATGAGAAAATAACATTCGCGCTCCGGCTATAAAATTACAAGATTTATATCTGTATTATATATATATCTGTATTAGTAAGATCAGTCCGCGGGAGCGGACAATTACGCTCCTTTTATTTCGGCCATATTATTGAGTATCGCTAAGACTCTCGATAAGTGTCCTGCGCGAGACGTGTGTGTGATAAGCAACGATAAAACAATCTCTAATCAAGGAAATTCGCTATCTAATCGTATCGATGCTTACGACTTTAAGAATCGATTGCGCTTTCGAACGAACGGTGGGATACGAGCGTTGATAATGTGTTTTTCACCTGCGTACCTGCTTTTCATAGTCAATAACGGTAATCGCGCCCGACTGGAGATAACGATTTATTGTTGCAAACGGATTTGTACGATAAAAAGAAGGAAAAAAAAAAAGGCGGATTGAAACGGACCCGATCCACTCGAGCGATAGCCGCGCACATCATGCGCGATTAATATTTCGACGCAAATGATTCCGAGCACGTCGACGATCCCGGGGACGCGATAACGCCGGGCTACGATACCGCTGCAATTATTGTTAAAAATAATGGGGATCGATCGCGACGTGAAGTACGGTCACCTATCCCCATGGCCTTTGTGCGTGAGTGTAGTATCTTCTGCGAGGACTTGTGCGCGCGCGGAGAAGATCGACACGATTGTAAAACGATGTACGTCAGTTCTACCCGTGGGAACACAATACAATTTTGATTCGTATGTGTAAGCTCTCCTTACGTCATAACCCGATCATTTTCCTGTCCATATTACGATAGAGAGTATCAGTTTACGTCTCAAGATTATGTTACTTAGATTGCGTTACGTTTCACTTGCCGTAGTTGTTTCTTGTGGAATCAGAATTAAAAAAAGGTGCCTTTTAGTCACTCGAAATTTTTTAATCTGTGTAAATACAACGAGAAGATAAAGCTCTCGAATGGTTATCTCCGCTGAGATAAAACGATTATTAAATTTAATAATGGTCAATCGATCAGTTTATTATTTTTTTCATGCTAATTTATTTATTTCATGCTTTTCATTATTTACTTACGTTGCATTATCAGAGATACTTTTCCGTAAATTTCTTTTTTATTAGAATTATTTTTATATCGTCTGAAGTAAAATATAAATCGAGAATACACAAAGACATGTATCGCGAAAACAAAATATATGTATATTGCAATATATTTATTTAAATAAAAATTGCGTATATATTCGAAAAATTTCTCGAGTAAAGCGATATAAATTTTAATTTTCGATAAAGATTTAATAATTTCCGATAGAGATTTGCCAATAGAGAATTTCTTTCCAGGGTACATATATATATATATATATATATATATATATATATATATATATATATATACAACAC